GCGGGCTGTGGGTTCTGGGAATGGAGCCCATGGTGAGAGAAAGATCCCCAGGGAAGGACGTGGAACCTCGAAGTCAAGAGGACCCTGTTGGCCTCCCCAGGGTGCTTCTAAATCATCTCTCAATCAATTGAAGCAGAGGCAGGACTTTGGTGTCAGCAGGGTCTGTTTGTCATTCCTGTACTTTTACTTCCCCACCCCCTTGCGCTCTCCTTACAACACTTTAAGTGCCTCTCGCTGCCAGCCTCTGCTGGCCACGAGGATCAAAGGTAGACGGTGACAGGTGAGGGTCCTGTGCATCCTGCTTCCATCCTGGAGGTGGAGACACAGCTAATAATTAACCAAAGAGATGAGTGAGATAACTTTTTAAAAGAGATTTCTTATTGATTTTTTTTAGAGAGAGAAACATCAATAAGAGGGAAACATAGATTGGCTGCCTCCTACCTGCCCCGCCCCCTACTGGGGATTAAGCCTGCAACCCTTGACCAGGAATTGAACCAGCAACCCTTTGGTGCACAGGAAGACACCGAACCAACTGAGGCACACTGGCCAAAGCTGAGTGTGATAGTTTTTGGTTTATGGAAGTGGAATGGAATGTTATTAATAGAGTGTGACTGGGAAAGGGGGCTTTATTAGATTGGTCGTTAGGAATGAGCTCACTCATGGAGAAAGGGATTTGGAGGCAAGTCCTGAATGTCTAAAATTAATGTGCAGATCTTGGCACTACCACTCACTAGCTATGGGACTTCGGATGAGTTACCCAGCCTCTCTAAACTCCAGTTCCCTCTCTTGTAAAATGGGGCAGTGCTCCCTTGCAAGGCTGCTATGGAGATAAACGGGTGCTCATGAAGACAGCTAGGACTGGGTAAAGGCAACACTATTTTCAATCCATGGTTGGGGCTGGCAGCTGTAACGCCCACATTGTCAACTGTGTCTGAGTAGTGGAGAAAGAAATACAGACATTAATCTTCCCTGTAAGTGTTTATAACTTCGTCTTAAGTGTTTTCCTAATGCTGAGTGACTCAGAGATTTATGCTTGTCTGGATTAAAAATGCAGATGGGTCTTGTTATTTTATTATCCTTTCTTTTCTAGGATCATCTTATGTGAGTTGTCGCCTAGGTCATCTCACTGTCGGTCGATTGAGATCATTCATGTCTGACCATGCTTCCCTTATGTTTGGCCTAGGAATGGTTTTGGGCTGGATTTTGAATCACTTTTTGGTATAAGGAAGCGATCCAAGTAACCTGGGATTAATAAGTAAAGCCTAAGGTCTAACTGGTTTGGCTCAGTGGATAGAGCGTCGGCCTGTGGAGTGAAGGGTCCCAGATTTGATTTCCATCAAGGGCATGTACCTTGGTTGCTGGCACATCCCCAGTAGGGGGTGTGCAAGAGGCAGCAGATCGATGTTTCTCTCTTATGGATGTTTCTAACTCTCTATCCCTCTCCCTTTGTCTCTGTAAAAAATCAATAAAATATATTTAAATTAAAAAAAAAGTAAAGCTGCCCTAACCGGTTTGGCTCAGTGGATAGAGCGTCGGCCTGTGGACTGAAGGGTCCCGGGTTCGATTCCGGTCAAGGGCATGTACCTTGGTTGCGGACACATACCCAGTAGGGAGTGTGCAGGAGGCATCTGATCGATGTTTCTCTCTCATCGATGTTTCTGTCTATCCCTTTCCCTTCCTCTCTGTAAAAAAATCAATAAAATATATTAAAAAAAAGTAAAGCCTCAGATTGATTCAGCAAATATACACACACACCACAAATGAATAACTCCTTGGAACTCCTGACTCCCAGTCCTGTGCTTCGGCCCTGTATCACCCTTCCTGCGTGCGCTGCTGTGAAGTGTCAGTGTTGGTGCAGAAATGAAAAGGAAGAAGCCTCTCCTCCCACACACTGCTTCAAGCTTTCATCAGCCTTGAAACCCACAGGCAACAGTGTGCTTCAGTTCAATCATTTACAAAAAATCTTCAAAGCATTTTAATTTCAGTAGCTGGGTTCTTTAGGTGAAGTACCCATGGAGTGGTAACTTTCAAAGGGAAAAGTCCTGGGTTGTGTGGGAGCAAATATTTAAAATTCAAATCTAGTGAGTGACAGGCCTAGGGGAGGCAAGGGTGGAATCCTAGGCTGGAAGAAAATTGTGGGTAATTGAGCAATTTTTGAGGAAGCATCTGTGGCCTTTGCCCTCCCACTCCACCCCTTCCCCAAAGTGGGATAAGTTGCTGAGTCACTCTTAACTGGCTTCCATGGGAAGAGGATTTGAGGCAGAGAAGAGTCATTTAGCCTGATGGCAGAGATCATATGCGGGATCATGAAATGACAGACAGGAATAGGAATAGGAATGCTATCTTGTCTTTGTTACCTTTACTGTAATATGCTCCCAAATACTAACTGGTTCAAAAAACATGTTTTTCCCAATATACCTTTTATTTTTATATTGGAAATTTGAAACTTGGTGAAAGGAGAAGCATATAAAAATCCTGAAGATGGTTTTCCTGTTTAACTTGGAACCTGGCACCGTCCTAATGAAGTCTACCGGCAGCCCTCTCTGAGATTGGCCACACTGTTCCTCTTGTGTGTGCTGTTTTGGACAGTTAGAGACAGACACATTGATATTGCAGCAGCCCCTTCTCCATCAAAAGGACTGGCTACATTTTTTGAAGTTTTTCAGCTCTGTTGTATTACTGAACCTACATAACAGCACCATCTAAATTTAGAACATTGGCCCCTCAGCCAATGGAGTTCTTTGCAGTGAACTTACAATGCTTTTGGCAGAGAATGAGGATGAACAAACATTCACATAGTATTGGCTGGTTAGGGTCATTTACTGCTAAGAGAAGAGGGTGGCACCAACTCTGCATTATTGAAAATATTCTATTTATTTTTAAAGGAAGAGTTTACAGTAGCTTGTGTAAAATAGCCCCTGTAAACATAAGCACCTGGCATGATGCCTGGTTACAGTCCAAATAAAAGTCTGTCCACTTGCTGCAAGGAGGTGTGCATGGAGAGAAGCTCATGAGAGATGGGCACTGGCTAGTGGTATATTGGGCAATGGCTGTGTAGACTTTTTGGAACCACCACACCTTGCATCATTTAGCATGGTCATTTGTCCACTGGTCTTTGGGTAGGTAAACATTAATAATGTTTTAACTAGATAAATGTTAGATGTGTAAGGGCTAAGTGATGGGATCCTGGAATGCGATTCTAATGATACTGATTATGGAAACTTTAAATCTGTGTTGGTGCAGAAATGAATGAGAGGGTTTGATGGAACTTCCTTGGTCATATATTACAGTCACTAAAATTTAACTGCGGGGCCTGCATGGCAAGGACAGTGAATTGGGGGTTCACTTTTGGAGTCAGTTATACCATATGCCACCTTGCTGGCCTAGTGTCCTCCTCTTTATCACTTGGGTTCATGTACTTGACATCTTTCTAACCAGTACTTGCTGGCAGCCAACTTCCCTCACCATGTATATTTCCTCTAGTGGACATTTTTACTTTGCCTACACATAGTCTCCTGTCCAAACCTTGTACCATCCCCTTCTTATATGCTCAGCTCATGTGCTTTAGGGGTGGAGAATCTGACACAGGCCCAGCCACATTCTCGTTGCAGGGATTAGGTTTAGTTCGGTGCATGCTGGCTCATGAAAATGAATCTCGGTTTTGCTCAGGTGCTAACAGGCAGAGATTCTCCCTTTATTTCCATTGATCTTGAAATTGGGAAGCTTGGGAATAAACTGCCACCATACCTTGGAGACAGTGAAAAACTAAGTTCTTATAATTAGGTTAACATTATTTCCTGTAACAAAGTGGCATGCAGTAGTGATATGTGTAATAAATAGTTCCTGGTTGGCAGGAAGCTTTGCATATGCCAAATCCAGAACACAGGCGCCTTCCACGTTCTGGTTCTGTCATTGCCTAGATCTCGGGAGCCCTTTGTGTCCAGTAGTGGAAAGAGAAAGACGAGTAGAAGGTATAAACTGCAGTCCAGACATAACTGGCATCCCTTCTGTGCTACTTCTGTTGGCGAAGACCAGTCTCATGTCCTTATCTGCATGCGGGGGGCGGAGCGGGGGGCGGGGATTGGGAAATTGAGACCCCAGTTGGGCAGCAGCACCTCTCCCCAAGAAGAGAGAACACATTTTTGGTTGACAGCAAGGTACTGTTGCCATGGTCCTAGAAGCAGTTTCCCCTCTGCGTCAAGTTGTGCCTATCCTTGGATTTTTCTGTTATTTTACCAATAAGTTCCTTTTCTGAGTACACATAATTTGGATTTTCTGTCACCTGAATGGAGACTGCCTGAGCTTTTATATCGTCTGAATCCCAGCTCTATGCAATGCCTCCGATTCCAAGTTTGTTGATTAAAATCACCACCCTGCTTCCCATCCACCATCACCACCACCATCACCGTCTTAGTGCATTGGTTTTCAAAATGTGGCCCTCAGACCAGCAGCGTCAGCATCACTCAGCAACTTGTTGGAAATGTAATTCTCAGACCCTACAGTGAAATGCCTGGAATCAGAAACTGTTGGAGGTCTGTTCAGCAGACTGTGTTCTAACACACCCCAGCACAGCGGTTCTCAGCTTGTGGGTCGTGACCACTTTAGGGGTCGAATGACCCTTTCACAGGGGTCGCCTAAGACCATCGGAAAACACATATATAATTACATGTTGTTTTTATGATTAATCACTATGCTTTAATTATGTTCAATTTGTACCAATGAAAATACATCCTGCATACCAGATATTTACATTACAATTCATAACAGTAGCAAAATTACAGTTATGAAGTAGCAACGAAAATAATTTTATGGTTGGGGGTCACCACAACATGAACTGTATTAAAGGGTCGCGGCGTTAGGAAGGTTGAGAACCACTGCCCCAGCAGATGGTGATGCCCACAAGTTTGAGAACTGCTGCCCTAATGTTTTTACCATAAACCCCATGTCCATGGATTGAATTACCCTTGTACTACTGTTCTAGTGTGAAACATTTTCTGGATTATAATACATTTAGTAAAAAATGGGGTGTTGCTTGTTATGGTCAGGCCAGAGGTAATCATTGACAGAAATTCCTTACTGATTAAAAAAAAAAAAGGAAAATCCTCTCTAGCAAGTCAGCCCTCAATCGGCGTTGGTGAAACCAGGTTGGTTCCTGGTTTTCCAGGTGTGATCGCTGACTGATTTGGAGTTAACCAGCTTTGTTACCATAAGGAGCCAGCCCAGATCTCACAAGAGGTTTGTAGTTTAATCTGGACTCACCCTTGTGAAATGCGAAGCACACTGTAGTCACTTGACTGAGAGGCTTGGTTGAGAAACAGGGTGATCATGATTGTGAGCATGCCCACATGACCAAATTTGTTTTTCTCAAAACTTCTGCTGAATAAAACTTGAAATATGACTGTCAGCCTGTTTTCCTGTCTTAATGAATTCCAGACAGTTTGTAGAGTGTGGGAGCTTCCAAAACAGAGTGGAATGACTGACCAGCCAGCATCTGTTTTGTCAGACGTAGGGCTGAGCTGACCGAACAGTCATCCCTCCTGAATCTTCCCAGGTGGCTCACTGCTATGGAGGGAAGGGCACGGCAGTGTGTGCCCCCCAAAGGAGCCTGTGGGAGAGCTCTGGACTTGTTCCCGGCCAGGAGATTCACCCACCCTTGTAATTAATCCACTTAGGCCCGAGTACCCAAGCGTGTGTTTTTCTGCATCTGACCTTCTCCAGAGAAAAAGCCCTGATGCCTTTTGGACAGAGAATCTGCTCTTCCTGCAAACTGGTTAAGAGCCGTAACCAGCCCAATCAGCGTAAAGGTCTGGGTTTAACCTTTTGAGTAAGAAGGGTTTTTAACTTAAATTCCAGTTTGACTACCTACATGTTCTTTTTATCTTTGGGCAAATTATTTGTAGCCTCTGTTTCAATGTAAGACTGAGCGGGGCTCCTGGATAACAGTGTGATTTAAGTCAGGGGGTAGCTTGCAATGGCATCCCTTCTGTGCTAGGGATGTGGGTAGAGTGTGCGCCCAGGCCTGGCCTTGGTCAGCGCTCTGTCGCTGCTTCCCTCACTGTGGCTCCCTTTGTATCCATGACATCAGCAAGGCTGTTGACTTGAAATGCATTTTTACTTTTAGACACTTGAATAAAGAGAAACAACACAAAGGCAACCAGCAGGAAAAGAAGAGGTTCTGTAGAAGAGAAGGGGTGTGGGGACAGAGTGATCCCGAATCCGGACAGGCAGCCTCGGGATCCTTGGGAGTGATGCAGGTCAGGTAGTGCTGACATGTGGGACGCCTACAGGGAGGTTCTAAGATGGCACGTGCTGTTACAGGTAAGGCCTGACTTTTGTTGCCAGAACAGTCTTTGTCCCTATCACATGCTTCCTTTCATCATAATTATAGACTGCAGCGAGGTGGAGGAAGAAATAACATGACGCGTAGCTGGGTTTCACAACACTGCACGCCGGAGCAGCTGAGCTCCGCCGCCTCCATGCAGGCCTCCGTCATTCCTAACTGTCGTGTGTCAGCTGGCCTGCAGTGACTTCCGCTTTAGCTTTTCACATTTAGCACGGCAGTCTATAGTTAACTTTATCCAGTAAAAGTCATAATACCTATATTACCGAATCTTGAAATCTTTACAACTTTCACTCTTCTAACGGTTTTCCCTCCCATTATATCTTTTTTAAAAGACTGGAACTTAAATTTCAATCCACACCAACACAATAGCTTGCTTTTCTTTTTCCCAACTTTGTTGAGGTATAATTGCCAAATATGAATTGTATATATTTCAGGTGTATAATTTGTTTTGTTATCTGTGCACAATTGTGAAGTGATACCACAAACAGTAACTTGCTTTTTTTGATTGTTACAAGTTTCTTCCCCAAACCTGTGGTTAACCAGGTCACCAGCAAGCACCAGGGGATTAGCCCGAATGGTCACCCCCTTTCTCAGGAGGAGAGTACCCTAGATGTCACATACACACACACGCCCCCATCAGGTACAGCCTGGTCCTGGTGCATGGATGCCGAGGGCACCTGCCTCACAGATTGCTGTGAGGGCCTAGTGAAGTCAGAGAGTACTGCCTGTGCTCGGGCCCAATGCTGCCTGGTGCTGCCACTCCTGCTGTGCCACCCGACTGCCCTCTCTGGGTTCAGTGCCACTAGAATTAAGGGGTTTAATGAGAATCAGAGTGTTACTCTCTGTATGTACTGTTGACTCTACCATTGTGTCACTATTAAATAAGTAGATAATAATTTGATTCTCTAGAAATGAAAAACACCCAGGCATAGAGTCTGTTCTCCAGTGTTTGGGATATATGTAGCATGTTTTCAAATGTGCTACATATATCCCAACTGTCAGTTGCTGTGTGCAGAGGAATGGGAGCAAATTTGATTACCAGTCAATGGGATACATCTGCCAGAATTCATATGTACTTTATACAAGCACAGAGTGGTTTTCAGAGCATTTTCTGCCATTCTCTTGTATTGTCACGACTAACCAAAACTAGACTTTGTTACACAGTTCCTATCCTGAGTTTTGTAAAAAACAGGGAAAATGGTGTTTTCCTTTTTACTTGTGATTGAAACATACACACACACACAATCAAAAGACGCATCAAGTTAGGTGCCTTACAGTGAGAGCCAATATACTTGGAGCGTAGGAGAGAATGAGCGATGGTCAGTAATGGGCCAGTCTGATGGACTCCTGACTCTGCACATCAGTGAGCGGACAGGATGAATCATCTGTGTAGGCTGGAGTTGGGAGTTAAGATACCCGTAACTAGGGGAAGAGGAAATGGACAAGACAGTTTTGGAAGTTTTCAGAACAGATTTATTTCTTGGGCATCTGAATAGGTGGACATTAAGTGATCTGACTCCTACTTTCTTAGAATCATGGTTTAGGAATTATTTGCAAGATCCTTGGGCAAATTTTTCTTGCTCCTGAGGTAAGATAATATTCAGAATATATTTATTGAACCTACTATGGAGTCATAAAGTAATGTGAACAAAAAGGGTCAGCACTACTCCACTGTCACTGTTGGCAAAGGGGCAGCTATGGAGCGGACCGGAAGCCGGAGCAGGTCAGCAGGGCCAGAGGACCTCTCTTCTGGGGGGAGGGAAAGCTCCCCCTGGTGGTCATATTACTTACCCTGCAAAATAAATAGTATTTATTTACTTATTGGTACATTATTTAAACCAATACACCCAACATATTACCAAGTCAAATATAGGAAATCAATATAGGTTTTTTTATTGAGGTAAAATCGACATATAAAATTATGTTAGTTTCAGGTGTACCACATAAGGATTCGATGTTGTAAAATGATCACCACACTGTCTAGTTAACATCCATCACCATACATAGTTATAGAATTTATTTTTTCTTGTGATGAGAACTTTTAAGGTTTACTCTCAGCAACTTTCAAATATGCAGTAGAGTATTAACTATAGCCATCATGCTGTGCTTGCATCCCCAGGACTTACTTATAACTGGAAATTATACCTTTTTATCCCCTTCACTCATGCCACCCACCCCTCACCCACCAATCTATTCTCCATATCAATGAGCTTTTTTTCATTTTAGATTCCACATATAAGTGAGATCATATTTAATGTAAGAGATCATATATAAGTGAGAAATATATTTTAAACTTATATTCACTAATGACAACTTTTAGTTGTCACTTGGTTTGAAGCCCTTATTTAAAAACCAATGTGTATTTTAAGAAATCAAGCATCTTCCTCTGTGGATAGGCAAGTAGGTAATACTTATTTCATTGTCTCTCGGTCCTCACTTGAAGGCGGCCGCACAGGAACAGGGAATATGTTAGTTCGCTGGGCATCTCCAGCATCCAGGATAGTGAGTGTCCAATAAATGTTTCTTGAAGAAAGAATGAGTAGAATGGATGAAGTGTTGTTTCTGGTGTGCTAGAAGTGATCAGCATAGTCATTATTTGTAAACATTAATTGAGTACTTGTTGGGTGTGCTTGAAATTCTTTTGGGAAGGAGGGAAGAGAAAGCTTGTTTCGGTAGGTGCAGTAATTTTTAGTTGCATAGCAGATAGAGCCCACAATTTAATAACAAGAAAGCAATACAAAGAGCTGTAATAATAACAGCAGCATCTACCATTTTTAAAGCCCCCTTTAAAAGGCTGTGTCTGGTGCCAGGGTTTTAATCTGGTCTACGTTTAGGAAACTGAAATCCACTGGGGTTACAGTAATAAAAGTTGCATGTCACTGGAGTTAAAGTATCAAAAGTTGCATCTTTTTCTGCCTTGCACCTGTAGCCTGCCGTTTGCATTTTGTACTGCATCCTTGTGCATTATCAAAAGAATGGCTTGTTAAGTCTGTGTGTATGCATGTTTCTGTGTGTGTGTGTGTGTGTGTGTGTGTGTGTGTATGTGTATCTGTCTAGTTGTCTTGGTTCTGGGATAAGGAAGGTACCTACATAATCTTTTCTTTTTTTTTCATATTTTTCCTGTGTTAGAAAAGTCAAGAAGCAGAAATAGCAGAAATGAATAATTCAGATCTAGTTGAATTACAAACATATTAAGGTAACTACTATCTACCAGGTGCTGTGTTAAGTATTTCAAATGTTTTATGTAGTAATTTAATCCTCATCTGAGGCAGGTAGGGTCCCATTTTATAAATGAAGAAACTGAGGTTGGGCCATCTTAAATCACTTGTCAAGATCATTCAGATAAGGGAGGGACCAAGACTTAAACTGAGGACTGCCTGACTTCAAAGCTCACGCTCTTGTCTACTTGCTGTGGTGGCTGCTGTGTATGTTGGGGTACCTAGGTGAGTCCGGATATGAAGTGATTAGGAGGACAGCTCATGTTGATTTTGGAATAGAAAGAGGACTAGTTTTTTGATGAAGTAAAGACAAGAGACTCTGGGTGTGGTTGAGATCTGAATCCAAGATAAACAGTTCTATCTATTAAAGGTGCTCCCAGCACACTTGGCTGCACAGTCCTTTGTTTTCAAAGCTGTTTCTGAAGAAGGAAAGGAGATAGGCTGTGAGGGCTCCAGGAAAGGCAGCAAAAGATGAGATGGTGGCTAATCATTCTAAAGGGTGTGGTGTGTAAGTTGTACATTTTCCTCATTCCTCATTAAGGATCTTTGAATGTTCCCAGTTGATAATATCAAGAAGTCTTGCCTACAAAGCCATCCTTGTGGTCCACCACTGAACGCGTAGCTCCGAACATCTTTGTGCTTTTCACGTCTCTCTCTCTTTTCACCCCTAACCTGACTTGTTAATTGATTTTCCTGTGTGTCTTCATCAAGTTGTAGTCAGTCTGTTCCATTTTGGACTGTTTATCTTTGAATGTCAAAGGTCTTGAAACATAATGTTGTGTAATGAACATAGCTTCTGCCTTGACATGTGTGTTAAGAGCATTAGTCATTGCAAAGCATCGAGTTAAAGGTTTTCAATAAAAGGATATAATGATATAATAGAGAGGAAGAAGTTATAAAAATACTTAGTTGATGGCTTTAATGATGAGCCATATTCTTAGTGGGTTCCATCAGTGATGAGTTAGAGATTCACAAAATGAATGTAAAAGCATTCTAACTCTAATTAATGGGAGAGGAGAAAGACCAACTATTTAAAAACCCCACTTAATTCTCATATATACCAAGTGTAGACCACCTGAGTTTTCAATGGGTCTGCTCCGGATTTGCTACCTTGTGTGTACCTTTACCATGAGAAACATTGGCGATTTCCATAAGCTATTATCTATAGGGTCTCCTGGGCTGCATCTTGTCAGAAAGCCTGGAGCCTTGTAATGACCTCTGTTTGGCAAGCCGAAGGCATCCTTCGCAACACCAGCAAAGAGCCAGGGGTTTTCTGAGTGAAGGAGAAGAGTCTTTGCCTGTGGAATTGACTTTATGAACAGCTTTGGTCAGTATTAGTCATTGTGAAACCATGTGGCGGCTGCCCTGATTTATCTCTATAGATGTCTCCCATGGCAGAAGGTTGACTCCTCAGTTCTCCATGTTTCTGGGCATCTCAGGATGTTAGAGGTGCAGTGGTTTGCTTCTTCCTGGGGAGTGTGAAGTAGGTATTAGTGTTCCCTGATGAAATATTGTCTAGATGAGTGTTTGGTCATCAGTCTAACAGGTTGATGTGTTGTCTTGTTTTCTGGAGTTGGAGGTTTAAAGTGCAGGCACCATGCATCCTCTCCTTTACCCTGCCAGCAGTCTTCAGTCTTTCCAGTAAACAACTTCTGTGCCGAAGAGCTTTCCTCTCCTAGAGCATTTACCAACAAGGACATTGCTTTAATGTCAGAATAAAGGGCATACACTGCGTCTAAGTGCTGTGAAAAGTTTCTCAGCAGCCTGGATATTTTCAAAAGCTGTCCAAGTCAAAATATATCACTTATGGGATTACTTTTCTTTTCCAGTAGGACATCTTATAAGAATAATTATTTTCATGACCAAGTTAGGAATGTATGACATTTGGGGGTTGGAGGTATGTGAAGAGATGTGTTTTCATCAGAATTTCCTTCCATCTGTGGTGATATTTCCAGAAGAATGATTGATCTCCAGTCCTCGTATTATGATTTTGAATTTATTTGCCATCATTATTAACTGCATCTGGAGATAAGGATGTAGTTTGGAATGGGTGCCAGGTAACCTGTGAGGTAAAGTCTGTTTTACCTTTATGATTCCTGTCATGTGCCCGCCCTCCTCCTGGCTGGGTTCCATGCCATCTTCAGTAGGCAGCAATTACTGGTGGTTACAGCAGCCGGCTGCTGCTGCCAGGAGCCTATTAATTATCAGTCCATCTCTAGTTCAGCCTTCCTGCTGCTGAGGACGGTGCATGGAAGCGTGTGGCAGAGCTGCGGTGGCATCTTTGTAATCACCTCCTTTCCGAGACGGCTTGGTGGACTCAATGTTCAGCCAAAGGGCCCCGGCGGCCCCGGTGAGTGTTTCCCGCTCGTCGGTGAGTTTGGTCAGTCAGATTTGGTGTAGGTTTCTTCTCCCTTTGACTCTGACCTGAAGAAAAGTTAATGGGTGGCATTTATGTTGGGAATTCAGACCTATTCCCGGTCCATCTCTGACTCAAGTGGGACATCTTCAAAATACTAGGACTTCCGTGGGTTTTCCCATGAGCTGTTTTCTCTTCTGGGAAAAGGAGGCCATGGACTTGAGGCTGTGCCTGTCTTCAAGAAGGTAATGCAGGCAGTAACCGCAGGAACTCAGCTTGCAGCTCACTGTACAGCAGATGTTTTTACAGAGGGACCGGCTTCATGTCACTTTGGATCTTTGCTTCTGGTTTGTAAGTGGCGAGACTCCTTTCTGTTTTCAGAAATGTCCAGTTCACTGGTTTCAGTGAACATTTTCAGAAGGGCCATTGGGTCGGTGATTAGGTTTGGAGGCTTATGCTTCCTTTCCCACTTTTTACGTTAGTCTTGGCAGTGTTGGTGTTTGAAACTGTTCAAGTCATTCGCTGCAAAGTGCATTCATTTTCCATGCTTTCGCACACGCTCGCCAGGTGTCCTCCCAGTTCCTCCCCTCAGATGATCTGCAGTTGTGGTTCTGCCATTCTTGCTGGATCACACATAAATGCTGATGTCACTGGATTTTTTCAATTTCAGCTGGAGGGGATTAACAGAAATTGTAAGAGAATACCACTTCCTCATTTGGCTGTTTTTCTGGACTGACTATTGTCCTTTCAAGTCTGTAGGAGGGTGGGGATTTGGACATGAGTTCTCTGTCTTCAAGTTAAAACATCAGTTTTTATTTTCCTTTTTCTGTTAATGTTCTTCTTCAAAAATAATCTAATGTCCAGGATGCTACTCTAATGTGCCCTGTAATAACCCTGGGCAGACTTTCCCAGTCCTGACTTTGCACATCGCTTGTCTTCTATCCTGGGTGAAGGGTTTTGAATACTTCCCTTAAGTAAGTTTCCTTATATAGAATATTTTTTACTCAACCGTCTTTCGCCAACTCCAGGCTGTTACTGGTATTAGGTGAAGGGTTGTGATTCTTTATTATTTTTTCCCCAGAGCCTTTTGTTCTTTAAGGAATGCCTTGCTCTGTTCCCATTGTCTTCTTGTTTAGTATCTGAGTGTTCTTTATGACAGTTCTGATTGCCTGACACCCTTGGACATTTATTTTCTTGGCTTTCCAGTCTTGCTCTAGCAGTTGGAGTCGGAGCCCAGGCTTTCTTGTTGTTCTCTTTGTGGTTTGAGTGATGGCGCCTGCATCTTTCCTGGGAGTTCTCTGGGCTTCTGGGCGGGCCCTGAGGCCACCTGGAAGTGAGCATAAGTGGTGGCTGGGCATGCACGGGTGGCAGTGATCGAATTGCAGTCCTGTGGAAACAGAAATAGAAAGGGTTCAGCGTTTGCACTTTCCTCTGGTGGCGTTTTTGCTTATTTTGTGTATTTGGAAAAGGCAGCTGAATGCAAACTGCTGACTTACTGTTTTCCCTGGAATGGAAACCATTTGGATTATTTCAATGAGTTTTAGCTAAGATTTGTTTGTTCACAGTGTTAGTTTTGTTTTCTGGTATCCTGTTTAGAATAAGACAATAATGTGTCTTTTTATTTTATGGAAATAAGTGTTACTTGGTGCCTTGGGATTTTGCAAACCATGAATTTGAAAAATCACATATTTACTCCAGAGTCAAAATGTAAACTCTTTAGTGAAAATTATAGATACATAAGTATTTCCACTTGGGGCCAATTACTTTCTTTGAAAAAACTTTCTTTTGCGCTAAATTAAGATTTCAGAGCAGTCCCTTTTCCTGGTTAATTTTCCCACTAATTAATGTTGCTAAGTTTTAAGGAGAAAAAGAGATTAAACAGAAGAGCAGCCCCAGATCACATGCACTACACTATTTGGTGTAAGGTGGTGACTGGTTCTTCTCACTGTCTTTCATGACAGAGTATATTTAGTTTACCTTTTAGTGGTAAGATTTGGCCTAGGCATAAAATAGAATGTCTGTACTGTAAGAACTCGTAGCACTGGAGGGAGTTCCTGAGCACAGTTATGGGGGTTCAGTCTCGAGAGCAGGTGCCCTGCAGGACCTCACACACCTGGCCGCTGCTTCGTTGCACGTTCTGACGAGTTCTTTGAATTGAGATTTGGGAATAGTGCAGCTATCTGAAAAATATTTCAAATATTGCCATGGAGTTTTGGGTTAAATGTGAGTTTCTATAAGTTTGAATGAATAGAATAAAGCAGGGAAAGAAAGAATAGTTATGAATTGGTTGAATTGTTTGGGATGAAATATTTTTTAAAAATGAATTTTTATATTCATCTATGAAATGTCACTAAATGTAAGAGCAGAAGGGAGGTGGGCATTATGAGTTAAGTATTGAATAAGCTGTAAACCCCACTAGGTTGATGACCATGACTGCTTTTATTTACCATTTTAGTCCAGCCAATGACAATATGCAGGACCTAATAGTTATTCAGTGGATGTTTTGGGACCTCGGTTCCAGGCCCAGCTGGGACCAGAGCTAACCATGTATCAAGACTCGGTCTCCTTTATGTACAGTGAAGGCTCAGGCTAGGCCAGAGGAGTGAGGTGGTGCCAGGACAGTGTGGACGGGGCAGTGCTGCTCCCCCAGGACAGTGTGGACGGGCCGTGTTGTTTCTCCCAGGACAATGTGGACGGGGCCGTGCTGCTCCCCCAGGACAGTGTGGACGGGGCCGTGCTGCTCCCCCAGGACAGTGTGGACGGGCCGTGCTGCTCCCCCAGGACAGTGTAGACGGGGCTGTGCTGCTCCCCCAGGACAGTGTGGACGGGCCGTGCTGCTCCCCCAGGACAGTGTGGACGGGGCCGTGCTGCTCCCCCAGGACAGTGTGGACGGGGCCGTGCTGCTCCCCCAGGACAGTGTGGACGGGGCCGTGCTGCTCCCCCAGGACAGTGTGGACGGGGCCGTGCTGCTCCCCCAGGACAGTGTGGATGGGCCGTGCTGCTCCCCCAGGACAGTGTGGACGGGGCCGTGCTGCTCCCCCAGGACAGTGTGGACGGGGCCGTGCTGCTCCCCCAGGACAGTGTGGACGGGGCCGTGCTGCTCCCCCAGGACAGTGTGGACGGGCCGTGCTGCTCCCCCAGGACAGTGTGGACGGGCCGTGCTGCTCCCCCAGGACAGTGTGGACGGGGCCGTGCTGCTCCCCCAGGACAGTGTGGACGGGACCGTGCTGCTCCCCCAGGACAGTGTGGATGGGCCGTGCTGCTCCCCCAGGACAGTGTGGACGGGGCCGTGCTGCTCCCCCAGGACAGTGTGGACGGGGCCGTGCTGCTCCCCCAGGACAGTGTGGACGGGGCCGTGCTGCTCCCCCAGGACAGTGTGGACGGGCCGTGCTGCTCCCCCAGGACAGTGTGGACGGGGCCGTGCTGCTCCCCCAGGACAGTGTGGACGGGACCGTGCTGCCGTTCCAGGACAGTGTGGACGGGGCCGTGCTGCTCCCCCAGGACAGTGTGGACGGGGCCGTGCTGCTCCCCCAGGACAGTGTGGACGGGACCGTGCTGCCGTTCCAGGACAGTGTGGACGGGGCCGTGCTGCTCCCCCAGGACAGTGTGGACGGGGCCGTGCTGCTCCCCCAGGACAGTGTGGACGGGACCGTGCTGCCGTTCCAGGACAGTGTAGACGGGGCCGTGCTGCTCCCCCAGGACAGTGTGGACGGGCCGTGCTGCTCCCCCAGGACAGTGTGGACGGGGCCGTGCTGCTCCCCCAGGACAGTGTGGACGGGCCGTGCTGCTCCCCCAGGACAGTGTAGACGGGGCCGTGCTGCTCCCCCAGGACAGTGTGGACGGGGCCGTGCTGCACCCCCAGGACAGTGTGGACGGGCCGTGCTGCTCCCCCAGGACAGTGTAGACGGGGCCGTGCTGCTCCCCCAGGACAGTGTGGACGGGGCCGTGCTGCCGTTCCAGGACAGTGGCAGATGCTGCCCATGTTCTGCCCTGTGGACCCGGGAGGAACCTTGGGCTTCTACCTCTCACCATGGAGACTGTAGGGGAAACTTATTTGCTGTCTAAGAAGTGCCCTCTCTCCAAAGTCCCTATAATCCTTGGTTTTGGGTCATTTTGATTTTGGTACTCAGGCCCAGTTATAACTAGGCAATATTCTGTGAAGCTCCTGGTCAGCAGGTGCTCACTTAAACAGCAGCAATGGCACCAGCACACATTATTGTCTCTCATTTTAGTCATTTTTTTCTGGTAGATTTAGCAGATATAGATAGAACTCAGTGAGTGGGTCTAGGCATATTCCTCTGTTGGTTATGATATCAAGGAATGATTAGATTAGCAGAGTTTTCTTTTTTATGCTCTGAAGTCCATTTATCCATCTAAGAAATGATTGCTTAAAACCTGCGGTCTGCCAGCCACCGCTGGTGCTAGCAGGCCGCCCCTAAGGTAGAGCTCTGCCTTCTCGTAACCCACAGCGGCAAGAATATGATGCTTGGCCTGAAGTGGAAACTTTGGGGGCAAACGATGGAGGGGAGAAGGGAAGAGTGAAATCTCCTAGAAGAAATGAAGTTTGAATTCATTATTGAAAGATGGCTGCCAAGCAGACAAGCTGAGGGCATTCAGCAGGCGGGAGGCATGGGCTGGAGGGCAGCACATTGTGGTGCCTGTGGGACCCTGTGAGCTCTGGAGCATGGCAAAAGCACCGGGGAGCCAGGATGGAGCCCCGGGGAGTGTGGATGGAGCACCGGGGAGTGTGGCCTGACCACTGGAGAGCATGGATGGAGCACTGGGGAGTACGGATGGCCTGATATGGAGGAACAGCACTCAGTGCCAAATGAAGAAGGGGTTGGAGGGTGGCCAGGTCTAGTGTCACAGAGGCCAGTTAGGATGGTTCTAGCTTAAGAGTCCTTGTCAGAAATAAGGGTACGCGTGCACTGTTCATCCCCAAAGAGAGGCTGTGAGTGCAAGAGGATACAAACCTTGGCCACAGATTACAAGAGCAATGAGGGCAAAAGGCTATACACTGCTTACCAGTGGCAGTGGTGAGGGCTTATTCATTCATTCAAAATATATTTGGTGCCTATTCTGTACCACACACCTGGGAAGACCATATGCTAATGGGAGACACAGCCAGATAAACAGACTGTGATAGATTATTGTGTATTCCTTATAAGTTACATGAGCAAAATTCTAAATGTCCATGCCCCGCCCTTTGCCGCAGCTGATTTATGCTCTGACCGATGGGCTCTCTGTTCCCTAAAGTAGGTTTTGAGGATAAAGTTAGGTAAGCACTGTGCTGTATATGTATTGTATTGCACATGTACACTCTGTACACAGATTAAAGACATCTGTCTTCATTCCAGACGTAACAGGCACCAGAATAAGGGATATGAGGTCTCACATAGGAAAATCTGCTCCCAGTAAAAGTTCTGTGAATTTCCAATATTTTCTGAACTCTGTTATTTTATGTGGAATAATCCTGGCTTTTAATTTCAGATCCAAGAGGAAACATTTTGGCTTTTGTGGTCCTTCCACACACGATTGGATCTTGAAGCTGACTTTGGTGGCTACTTCAAATTGGCCTTCATGCCTGTGTTCCAGGTTATTTCCAGTGTTTAGGATTCCTGGGCAGGAGCAAGAATTTGCCTCAAGGCAGTAAGACTGGTGGACGTTGGATAACTGGCTTATTTTAAAGAGATGTTTTGGTATAGAAAGGGCAGTAACAACAAATTCTTCCCCTAAATGCAAGTCTTTACATTCTCCATCCAACCCAGGAAAACCTTTTGATCATAAGGAATCAAAATTCAGCTGGATGGATCTGATAAAGACTCCTAGGAAGCCATTCTAAGTTCTAGTACCGTTCTCTGAAGATAATACTGTCTCACTCATTACTATGGTAACCACAGCTGGTTCAGCTGGGATGTGCACATTTTGCATGACTCGGACAGATCCTTATTGTAGGGCTGAAGCTCTGGAGTCAGGCTGTCCTGGGTTTTGATCCCTGCCACACTGATTAGCTGCTGTTTGAGTTTGGAGCAGATACTGGGATTCTGTTTGTTTACCTGTAAAAAGGATGCATGTAAGTCCTTTTGTTAAACCTGCCTGGGATTGACTCTTCTCTTCTTCATCACACTGGGAAACCTGTTCTCTTTGTTCCTTGCTTTCCGTAGCTGTATAGTAATCGTTGTAATAGTAATATTACTAATTCCTAGCCCATATGGGTGTGGTAAGACTTAAAGGAGATAATGCACATCAAGGGTTTGGAATAGTATCTGGCACACAGCACCTGACTCCGCTGGCTCCCTGCCACTGTTTCCTGAGCTTTCTGATGTGTTCTGTACCCCATGTGGTGAGGTGCTGTATTCTTTCTGAAGATTAAGGCTTCACAAGATAAATTTATTGCTATATGCTTTTCTCTGTTTTTTTTTTTTTTAATTGAAGATTTCATAATATACTTTCTGGGTTTGGAGTAGGGTTGCCAGATAAAATACGGAGTGTCCAGTTAAATTTGAATTTCACATAAAGAATACTTTCTTAGTATAATTGTGGTCCAAATTTCATGAGGTATGCATAATAAAATATTATTTTTGCTAATCTCAATTAAAATTTAACTGGGCATCTTGTATTTTTATTTGATAAATCTGGAAACCTTAGTATGGGGGTAAAACTTACCCTTGATCCTCTCATCCATTTCTTTAATCAGATATATGTATGGATGCTTATACAAACACAGTGAATAATGCCCTTGGAACATGAGTATAGAAATAGTCACACAAATTTGATGAAATATTTCCTAGTATCTTTAGTAAATCTGTCTCCTAAATTCTTTATACCTTTGTAAGCAATAGGACCATCAAATTGAGATTATGTTGACACCTGAGTATATAGTGTGAAGTTGCTTGAAAATTCTGAAATGTTCTAGTGTTGCTTCTACCTGGAGGGACCTATTAATAATGACACATTAATGCATAGGTATGCATTCCAGAGAATCCTGAAAACCTCATCATCTTTGAAGGAAATTACCTCATCACTCTTAGAGTCACCTGTATAGGGAAGGTTGTTCTTATGGCTGGCCTGATTTTCCAAGTAGGAAAATAAACACATAGAGTGGGTAGGTTAATAATTTAGAGTGATGTCGCTGTATGTACAAATTAAGTTAATTTTTAAGTGGGTTTGGTCCTTAAGCTGTTAGATCAGTTGGAGATTTTGAGAGAATTAAATCAAAGACTGAGATCCTCTCAGTTCAACCCATTTTTACTGAATATCTTGCTGGGGATACAACAACCTGCTAGCAGGAGAGAGGACTTTTAACCTATGGTTCTCTCCCTTAAAAACCTTAATGTTAAATGGAGCAGTAAGGCAAGAAACAACGATGACAAAAGACAGAATAAATACTGTTAGGGTCTAAGGCAGTGATGGTGAACCTATGACATGTGTCAGAGGTGACACGCGAACTCATTTTTTTGGTTGAGTTTTCTTTGTTAAATGGCATTTAAATATATAAAATAAATATCAAAAATATAAGTCTTTGTTTTACTAGGGTTGCAAATATCAAAAAATTTCTCTATGTGACATGGCACCAGAGTTAAGTTAGGGTTTTTCAAAATGCTGACACGCTGAGCTCAAAAGGTTCGCCATCAGTGGTCTAAGGCAAGTAAAGCCAGGGCCCAGATCAGGGGTCCTCAAACTTTTTAAACAGGGGGCCAGTTCACTGTCCCTCAGACCGTTGGAGAGCCAGACTATAGTTTAAAAAAAACTATGA